TCCTTCGTTTTATGAAGGAGATAGTTTTATATGATTTTATGATCACACCATGCAAGGTTAGTATTAAGTCCATACAATACTAATATCTTCCAATAAAAAAAGTTAAATTATGTTATCGTTTATTAACATTTACTTTTGATTTTTTTTTTATAGTGGGAGTGTAAATGAAGCTTCATAAAAGTCAAACTTGATGATGTCCATAAAGAGTGGTTTGATTATGTATTATCGTTCGCTATACCTTGAGGTTGGAGAATGTTGATTAGGTGTAAATATATGCATTATATTATTTATAATGTTTTTAACATGTCATGTTGAATGAATAATTTTTAATTTTTGATTGAGGTATTGGTTTAATATTATTGGTATATCTTTGTTTATATCAATTCGTAGCTTATACGAATAGACATATATTGAGTATGATTATTTAAAAAATTTATTTTTATATGGTAGCGCTATCAATTATAAATCCGGATGTGTGGCGTAATATTGAAATACTACAATGTTCAGAATTTAAATTTCAAAATGTAATTCATAGTATTACAAATATGTATTTGATTCACACAAGTATAAATCTGATATAAATAAACCCATGTTTAATAATGAAGTAGTGATTTGCATATTTACAACCTTCTATTTCTTGCCTTAATTAAATAAAAAGGTTTTGCAAAATTATACAACAAATTTGTAAACAACATGTAGTGTGATCTACATGTGTCCAAGAAAAGGAAAGTCAAATGATAGGCGATATGTATTACATTTGTTTAATTGCTTTCTAATGTAATTACTTTTAAATGCAGTTGGCATCGTAAAGGAAAACTCAACTTTGTGATTTTCTTTCATCATATACTCACCAACGGCTAGTATTTCATCAGGTGTGAATTTGTTGAGTTGCATTATTTCATTGAAAGTGACTTTTTTCTATTTGTATGCACTACTTCTAACTTAAAGTAAACTAAAATGTCCTCTATAACATTCACAGGCCAATCATATAAAGCATCAATATTGCCAATCTGATGCACCAACCCAACTACTACTCCATCATTGCTCCTAGCATGCTTTTTACCTAACAACGTCATCCTAACGTTGCTCTGAGCAGCAGATACAATGTCATCTTCATCATCTCCTCTCTCATCATTTCTTTCAACATTGATATCAAACTCAGGAGAGTAGTAAGCATCTTCATTAGCATTTAATGATTCAATTGCATTAGCTGCCATTTTAGCTTGTTGACTAGTTAGTTGCTCTATCAGATCTGAATATAAATCATTAAAAAATGGGAAAGATTTGTTCCATAACCCTCTAGCATGTGGGTGTGATTGGCAAAGTTCAAAAAAAGATGAATCGAATAAAAACCATTGAAAAAAAAACGTAAAAAAGATATATAAGCCATAATATCATCTAAAAAAACTTACCCAAACCCACTCATCAAATATTTTCTCAGCTATGATACATTTTTCTTGATCATTCCACCCAAATTCATTAGAAATTTTCATATAACAAATTGCATGATATTGTCTCTTAAGCAGCTTAACCTTGGATTCAATGTGGGGGTTGGCTTTAAGTTATGAAGTAAGAATAACTTGCTCTAGCATTTGTTCAATATAACCTAGATATCTTACATGAATGTCCCATTATCCATTTTTCATCAAGGATCATCAGTCAAAAAATGTAGGCATTGAACTAAATACGAATCCTCTTCTCTAGTTTATGAATGGTTACCAAAGCCAAAACTATCCAATCATCTTTTGGATACACATCAAATAGATTGCAATGGATTGTTACGCAATGAAAACATTTCAATTCCTAATCACATGGTTAGACATTTTGAAACAATATCAATATAGTAAATTAAAAACAATCAAAAGAACAAAATAAATGAATATACATGGAAAAAAAAATGTGTTCTCCAAATTGTACTATTCATTGGACAATATCAACCATCTGGTACATAAAATAAAAATCATTTGGGCAAACAAATAATAAAATACAAAACATAACTATAATGTTATTATCCCCTAGATTGCAACTAATGGGTGAACATATCATTAGCCAGATTATCTCTAAACTGATCCGATAATCAGATGGCTCAACATGCGTAATCAAATGTGATGATCAGATTCATCTAGTTGAGAAATATTTCATTTGGCAACATCCTTTTCAATATAATAAAAAACAATCTTAGACCTAATAAAATTACGAAGAAAGTAACAAGCAAAAATGATTCTACACTATGTCTTAATTGAATAAAATAACTTTTCCTTTAAAATTGCCCATTTAGCTTTCAAAATAACAAAACATCTCTCGATACAATTTCTTGCTTAAGAGTGTTTCGTGTTGAAGTATCCTGTGGGGTCATTAGTTAGAGTCCTATCCTCCAATCACAAATCGTTGACCTTTATAAGGTGCCAAGAATCATTTCCCATTTGTATATCTGGCATCATACAAATAGTAATTACCTATGAAAACAATGAACAACATTACTAATATGGAAATATGCAACGTCGTTGTTAACATTACATGAACATAATACAAATAATATCTTGTAAGATCTTCAACCCATTCTTATATGTAATGGCATCCCTTAACATTTTACCATCTGCTGCAGAACCTTTCGATCCAAGTAGAACATATTGAATTGCATATTTAGGGTGCAAACACCAAGGAAATTAGTAGTAATTTCATTTTTCCTTATCTTGTATCTAGGCCAATCAATTGCGTCAACATTGACTTTAATGTATGTCTCATCTAAGGCACTCAAACAACCCTTGAACCATTTTCATCCATTATCTATTGAATTTTTTAGTATGGGTTGGGGTTTTTAAACAATAGCGTATGCAATCTTAATATAAAATTCAACACAGAATGAAATTGTCTACTAATTGTCTCTTCAAATATGGATATTTGATACTTAATAATCCTATTTTTTTGTATGATGGGTAATAATGTATAAGAAGATAATTACTAGTTCTTCTATTTTAAGCAAATGACATAATTTTGCAAAAGCTCTCCTGTCCATCCTAATATGATCTGCACACTGTATATCGCTCTAAAAAACCATTGCGTTTAACTCTTTAATATGTAAGTTATCATAAGATGTTCCACCATAAAATAGTCTACGTTGCTTTCTTACATTAATATTTAATTAAGTTACTACAACAAAGTCTTAATTTGGTTCAATTACATCATAAGCAATGTAGTTAATTGCATTTTCCTTAGTGAAAAACCAGCCATAACTATTTAGAATAAAGAATTTTGTTAAAGTTGAAAACACAATGGAAAGCAAATCTTAGCATATAGTGGATGGAATCCCCCCACATCATCAAATAAAATATAAATCACAAACAAAATATTGAAATATTGGAAGGAGCTAAAATAATTTAACCACAAAACATATTGGCCAAAAATTTGAGGGGATTATTCAAGGCATTTTTGGCCAAAAATTTGAGGGGATTATTCAAGGTGTTTCTGGGCAAAAATACCTCGAATAATCTCCAAAAAAAAATGGCAATGGATTATTGAAGGCATTTTTGGCAAAAAATACCTTGAATAATCCCTTACAAAAAAATTTAATGGAGCTTATTCAATGCATTTTTGACAAAAAATACCTTCAATAATCTCATAAAAAATTTTTGGTGATTATTTAAAGCGTTTTTTGTTAGAAACGCATTGAATTCAAATTTTTTGTAAGGGATTATTAAAGGCATTTTTCATGCCAAATGCCATATATAAATCAAATTTTTACCAGAATAAACCTACAACTAACTTGCATACATTTTTAGATATGCTTTTCAAAATGATAATGGCTATTTCATAATTTTTTAGTCAGGTCAAATTTGAAAATAACGTTATTTTTTCCTTCGGAATCTTAAAATACCACAGGGAGAGGTAGATTTTTTATTCTGCAACTTTGGATACTGTTGGGAATATGTTAGATTTCCCCAAAATCAAATTACCTTGAACCAAACCTTGGAATCAAATACCCAATAGTAAGATTTCAAGGAAAAATGTGTGGATTCTCTCGAACCAAATACCCTTTTATTACATTGCATACGTGTACAACAAATTAGGTTTGGAGACAGTTTTAATATTAAGTTTTAGATTATAGATGAGGAAAGCTTTTAGTGAATAGATTCTTTTTATCAATTGTTTGAATCATTCTTACTCCTATATTTATAGGGAACTTAGTCAATGTGTTAATTTGTTTAACCGATTTCTCTATTTATTGAATTTATATCTTTTAAAACTCAATATGTATCATTTTTAATTTTTTAGAAGTGAAAGAACACTTTATGAAAAGGTTGGAATTCATTTGAAATGAAAGTAACATTTATAACTAAAAATTATCAAATATGAACTATAGCATTTGAATGCTCTTGGAGGCATTCAAATCCCCATTTATAATTTTGTTTTAAGTCATTTTTTTTTATCATAAAATTCAACTGCCTAATCGAAAGCATTCGAATGCTTTAGTATAAAAGCATGTCAAAAGACTTTTCAAATATGACATTCGAATCCCTTTAATCAAACATTCGAATCTTTTAGTATAAAAACATTTCATAAGTTAATTTTTATTTTCATAAAAACATTTCATAAGTTAATTTTTATTTTCAACTGATTCTTTCATGTTTTAATTCTAAACTTTCATATTTCTGCCGTTGAGACAGTATTAGTTGAGGTGCCTACTCTCTCTATTTTGGAAGTTAATAATTAATGTTTATTATCATGAAATGAAAAAGGAAAGCTACATAAGATCAATTGATGAAATGGCTAATTTGATCATTAAACAGTTTGATCTGTCAAGTGCTCAGAAATAACCAAGAAAATCCGATTCTACCATAATTAAGGATTTCTTTCTTGACAAAACAATGAAAAAAATCACCTTAAATAGCTTTGTCTTCCAGTGTTCAGCACAAAAATTGTTGTAATCCATCACTTTACAAACCATGGTAAGAAATGAAAACTCCAAATTTCAACTGAGGCCACTTTAATCTAACTCTTAATTTACTGATGGAAAATCCTCTTTTTTTTTCGTTCAGGATCCATCATCAATTGCATATGTTATTTGCCTGGTCTCACTGATCACAATTTTTGTTACTGCAAAAGCACAGCGAAATGTGTTCAACGTTCTAAGTTATGGAGCTGCTGGCAATGGCCTTATTGATGATTCCTTGGTAAAATTTTCTACTTTTCAGCCTGTGAAATCTTAAATTTGCAGATATGTATCAGTTGTTCCACATTATTAGTACTGATTACTACTAATTTTCTAATTTTTTCGGACGCAGGCGTTCATGAAGGCATGGAAGGACACATGTAGTGCTGCAGCAGGCACTCCTACCTTGATTATTCCCAAAGGAAAAATATTTTTGGTGCATCAGATTATATTCACAGGCCCCTGCAAGTCTAATAAAATAAATGTAAAAGTACGATGAAATTAACAAAATTAAGAATCTGAAGCTTATCTAGTTGGTTCATAGTTCATACAGCTATCATTATGAGGCAATCAGCATGTGTAGAGTTCAATTTTCAATACCTGCAATCCCTTGCATGTCATCCGTCTATAGCTTCCTTTATATCAAAAAATTAATAAAATTAATAGCACTCCAAAAGCTTTCCTACTTCCTAGTAATACATCAGTAAATTGGCATGTGAGATATAATCAAAGTTGGATCATAACTCATGAGAATAGATAATATGATCTTCAATTCTCCAGGATTCGTATTCTTCCGCAATCTAAATTTCTGTTGCAGCTATCAGGAACTATTATCGCACCCAATGGTCCTGATCAGTGGAAGGCAGCCGATCTGTCAACATGGTTAGCATTTCAGGGTGTAAACGGTCTAACTATTGATGGACTTGGGATGATAGATGGACGTGGCAAAGGCTGGTGGGATCGCTCATGCAAATTTCATCGTGGTCAGCAGGTATACTGCAACATCAAAATCGCAGAAAACACAACCAAACTTAAACTTGTGAAGTTCCATACTTCCAGTCATTTTAATTCCTTTTCTTTTTTCCTGCTTTTTCCTGATTCCATTTCTGACCGTTGAACTTCTCTGCAGGGATGTATCACACTAGCACCAACGGTAAGTACGTTGAGAGGATTAGGTCCAGGCAAAACTCGAATCCAGAATTTATTACTACAACTCTAGCTGTCATTATCTGCCTAGTTATTGTAGAGAAGGCAGGTTAGTATATTACTATATTATGCTTTGCTGCAGGTACTTAAATTTGAGAATTGCAACAATATTCACATGAGCAACATTAAGTTTCACAACAGCCCCCAAACACACGTACTGATCTTGGGATGCCAAAATGTTGATTTTGGATTCTTGACCATACAAGATCCTGGAACAAGCCCCAACACTGACGGAATACACATTCAGGTTGCTCGTAATGTGTCCATTCACAATTCACAATTTTCTGATGGTGAGTTGATTGCTTTATGTAAATGCTTTTGATTTAAGGTTTTGCATTTGAGAACAGCAAAGGAAAAGAATTACTACAGAGAATTCACCACATTCTACAATGGAAAAATGGCATACATGGTGTTTCAAACTCCATGTAGGACACTGTCTGTTGGTATCCGAAGCGCCTCTAGGACTTTTCTCTATTGATAGATTGGAATCGAATTCCCTGGTGTTTACTTTATAAATGTCTTTGACAAACATCAAGCTAAGTAGTAATTGAATGAGTGCATGACTGTCAAGTTGATGATTAACGGCTTCATTGTTCATGAACAGGTGATGATTGTATCTCCATTGGTGATAGGACTTCTGACATCTCCATCACTGACATTAGTTGTGGCCCTGGTCATGGTGTGAGGTAAGCAAATTTTTTATTCAGTCTTTAACGTCACTGGGGATTAAATCGATCATTGGAACAAGCCCAACACTCCTAATTTTAATGCCTAACAGCATTGGAAGCCTAGGCAGGGGCGGAGCGGACGTTCAAGTAAATAATATTAATGTGAGGCGAGTAAACTTCCGAGGGACAACTAATGGGGTACGAATCAAGACATGGCAGGTATGAAATTTGTAAAATAAAAAAAGAAAAGAACAAAACCTGTTGACCAACGAATATCTTGAGTTAAATTTGTATTTGTTTTGCAGGGAGGCAGAGGTATAGTTCGAAACGTATCTTTCTCAAACATAAACTTCCAGGCAGTGGCAAATCCAATCATCATTGATCAGTTCTACTGTGATATTCCAAATTCGTGTAGGAAATCGGTAAGACACATACAGAAGCCTTTAGAACAACTAAAAGCATTACAATTTACATGAACGGAGCTTGTTTTATTGTTTGAATTTATACTTTGAATTTTGACAGAACACTGCAGTTCATATTAGCGGTGTACGATTCTCTCAATTGTTTGGGACATCAAAGACAAAAGTGGGTATCAATCTCAATTGCAGCAGTAATATTCCTTGCACCGGCATTACATTAGAGGACATTCATTTGGCATCGGCAACTTCAGACAGCCAATTGATTTCTAGCTGCAACAACGCCTTTGGACTGAATAGAGGAATTATAGATCCCAAATCCTGCCTCCGGAAAATAATTTGAGAGACAATATGATTGTACATACAAATTTCCTTCTAAAAACAAAAGCAGAAATAAAATGTCAAAATTCAATTTTATTAAATAAAATAATGGATACAAATTTCTATATGATCTTTTTTATGGAAGAAAATAATCTTCTGATTCGATCTTATCAAAAACAGAAACGATAATATCTAATGAAATGATTGGCAAATCTTCAAACCAACGTTTTGTGATAGAAAACAAGCTTGTGATTTTTGTGAACAAAAGCTTGATCACGAACTGGCAAAAATAAGCAGATCTTTAAAGAAATGACCAAAGCCTTATGATTTCTTGGCTGGTTATTGAATTTCAGACAGCTTGAGCAATCTTCAAAGATGACCAGCAAATCTTGAATGTGTGAGAATAAGGCTAGAGTGTTTCTTCTTTGCATTGATCTCCAGATGAGTTAGAAGAACTCTCTGTTCATAATGCTAGGTGTGATATAATGTGAGAGAGTTCTAAAATTAACTTAATCATTTTGATTTTTTCTGTAATAATTTTAAATTAATTAAAGATAATGAAGATGACTCATAGAATTTAATTAGGTGATATATGAGTCCTTAATTTTGATTAGTCTAACTTATGTTTTTATCCTGATATACCAAGTAATTTTAATAAATATTCAACCAATTTATTTAACTAATTAAATATTTACTTTAATTGACTTAAATATTTTTATCAAATTTTCAATGTCTATGATGGTTAATTTATATATAGCAAGCCCGGATTTTTGTCATCCATGTAACCTGTATTAACCTTTTGAAGTATTGGAAAATTGATTGGTGGAGTTCTTAGGTAATTAAATTTTTAGCTTACGCAAGGTTCAACCTTGTAATCTCTGCACTTCTTACGCTCCTCGAAATTATGGAAAGATTTAAATGAAATTCCTTAGGTGATTATAGTGAAATTTTTTATTAGAAACAATTAAATAAAAATTCAAATTAAAAATCAAATTGATAGATTAAGTGATCTCATTATATAAATTAAGTGTGTAAAATTTGAAAAAAATTTCATATATATTTTTGGATAGACATTTTAAAAAAAATATTGATAAAATTTTTAGTGTTAAATAAATATCAATCAAATTTAAATTATAAATAATTTTTTTTAATTTTTTTTTACATATTATTGATATCCACATTAAAATCTATTAATTTATTGGTTTTGATTTGTTATTAAATCATTTTTAAAAAAAAAATTCCATAAATTTTTCTAAAAAAATTTCATATAAATTTTGTCAATCCGAATAAAGCTAAGTTCACTTATCAAAGGTTGGCTTAAAAGTCCAAAATTGAGGCATCCTGCTAAATTCGTAAGAAGCACGTTACTTTAACAAAGTTTCATAATCGAATAACAGGATGATTGTATCTCTAGATTGGAGATTACCTTTCAAACATTAATGTGAGAAATTGTTTTTATGATTTTTGATTGAGAAATTTAAATACAAATATGGACCGACAAATTAATGTAACTAATGTCTAAAATTATTTTTAAATTGATGTCTTGAAAATCAAAATAATTTTCTTTTTGGTACATAAAAAGTCAAGATTTAAGAGAAATTGAAAAAATATTAACAAGTATTGAGAAGTAAATATCAATTTTATTAAAAATCATTTAAAAAAACAATGAATTATTTTGAAAAGGGTGAAAATGAAGTGGCCCATACATCAGGTTTAGAAAAACCTTTAGGGACCGTGGGCTTTTGACTCGATATGACACTTTCACCCGCAATTTTCAATTCGTTACTTTCTTAATGAAGCTTAGATTGTTAATTTTAAATTATGAGAGCTGAAAATTATGGAAGTTAAGCAGTTATACTTAAAGAAATATAAGTCAAAAAACATAGAGATGTCTTATTACTGAACATTGTTTAATTAATTCTTATTTGATTAGATTTATTCATAAAATTTGATACCTTAACCCCTTTTAAATGGGTAAAGTTTGAAATTATACATTAAAGAAAAAAAAAAATTTCTAAGTACAAATAAAAATTATATATAATTGAATTTAGAATTTAGCTCAATTGATTCATTTAAAAGGTAGTATCAAGCAGATCTGAATTTCAAATCACAATACATACATCCACTTCTCATATTTTCAAGTTAGAGTCCCGTTTGCAAATATATATATATATATATATATATAATTTAATCAACTATTATATTACATACAAGAAATTAATAAATTAAATCAAATAAACTAACAAATAAATCAGCATATAGGTGAACAAATTTAATATAAAATTGGATTAAATATATATATATGATAAGATTTGAATTTAAGATAATTTTTAAAATCTTTTCCTCATCACTAAGATAAAGTCTCATTAGGTACACTTTTTTTGTACACATGATATTAGATTATACTCTTATTTCATAAATATCTCATGTATCTATCTTAAAATTCGAACTCAGAATATCTTTATTGAAGTCTTAAACTTCAACTATTGGGTGTCTCAATTTGGAATTAATTTTAGAATAATACTTAATCATAGTCATGAATTCCTCCCCCACCCACCCCACAAAAGAGAGAGATAGCCTTGGCATCCATGGGAGCTGGATGTAATACACTTAGCTCATGATAGAAGTAGAGACTTCTTAATTAATCTCGGTTTGATTGGTACATTCTTAAGTATGCCATGTGTTTTCCATCTGGTTAGCCCTACCCTAATGCTCACGTTGAATCTTCTTGAAGCATGCCCGAGATCCAATAAATTGTTCTTGGACCTTGGGTATTTCTTAAGCTTAATTACATGCATTCCAGCATCAATTGCATACATTAAGCAGGAAGGAACTTGCATAACAAGTTAGTTAATTGTTAAAATTAAGCAAAGGAATTTGATTTAATTAAATCATTGTCAAAGTGCTTTAATCAATCTCTATACGTTGTTATTAATTATATATACACAATCAAGGTTTAGAACTTGAAGTTTTTACATACTACATTCTCATATTATTGTCTCCTATAATACCCAGAATGGTGAGATGCCTCGAAGTAACATATATTCTCCATTAATGAGCTTTTAAGGGGTCTTGCTTTTCTATACTAATTTTGAGAAAGAATGTTTGATGCAGGCACTTTTCACCATTTTTACAATTCTGTGCATAGTCACTCCAGTATTGAGCAGTGCAACAAATTCTTTTAATGTGATGAATTATGGAGCAGTCGGAGACGGAATAACTGATGATTCTACTGTAAATTCCGTCAACTGGTCTATCCTTTTCTTTGTTATTATTAGTGTTAATTATTAGTTGTTAAATTATGTTACGGTTATGTCTTCAAAGAAATTGCTAATGTCTTTTCATTAAGGGGTTCAATATTCCAACAACGTACAGGATATTTTCCTCTACATGATTAATTCAAAAATAAAGTTCACAAATTAAATCGCGCTTTAACTTTTGTGGGCAATTTTATAGGCCTTTTCGAAAGCATGGACAGCTGCCTGCAAAGCTCCATCAAGAAATCCAGGCCTCATTATACCAGCAAAGAAGACATTCTTACTGAAGCCTGTGACTTTCAGCGGTCCCTGCAAGTCCTCCTCTATATACGTCTTGGTAAACAGAATCAATATATTGATAATATTGACTGATATGTATGTATTCACTGGATAGGTAAGGGATTGCAGGTATTGAGATTTGAATTTTATACTTGTTGGATATCACCTCTTAAGGATCACTGCATGATCTATTTAAGTATTAAGCTTCGGGTTAGCCAAAACGATTTTACATGTACTTATTAATCAGAATCTATATAAGTAGCCAGCCGCCTAGTCTGGCCGTAAGCAGCTTAGATCAGTTGCTAGGAAGAAGATCATTATTTGAAAATTTAGAAATTTACCACGGGCAGTAGATGTTTCGTTCTTAACTTACATGCTCCGATTATATTCTACTTCTTGATTTTAGTAGAGAGTATAGATAAGGTTCACCTGAAAAGTTGTAACCGAATGATTACCATTTACCATAGATATCAGGAAACATTGTTGCACCCAATTCCAAATTGGCATGGAAAGGTTATCACATTAATAGGTGGCTTACCTTCACAAATGTAAACGGGCTTATGATCATTGGATCGGGAACAATCGATGGTCGAGGGTCTGCTTGGTGGCCACAGCCTTGTCTGTATAAGGTACCAAAGGTAGGTGAATATTTCTTGCTTCCTGTTGTCTGTAATATTTTATTGTTGAATTTATTTCTTGGGCAAAGTCTTATATATGTATACTCGTTCAGGGTGTAACATGCAAAGGACCAACTGTATGTAGAAACTTTCTCTTCTTTGATTGTTGATTTTTTAAATTCCAATTTTATGGGGATTACTATAATCACTTGCTTATGTGTGTTTTGTTGACAGGCACTGACATTTGACAAGTGCAATCACCTGGTGCTCAAGGGATTGAGACATATCAATAGCCAAAGAAACCATATTGCCATATCCAACTGCAAAGATGCTACCATCTCTAACCTGCATATAAGTGCCCCAAGCACAAGCCCCAACACTGACGGTATTGATATTTCCGATTCGAGCAACATTCAGATCAGCAACTCTTCCATAGGCACCGGTAATTTGGTTATGATCTTTAACTTCTCTTTCTTCAAATTATCGGATAACCAGTGTGGATCACTATGTATAATGGTGGCAGGGGATGATTGCATTGCTGTTAGCTCGGGTTCGGCCAACATAAATATTACCGGCATAACATGCGGGCCTGGGCATGGCATCAGGTCAGTAGACAACATTTAACCAATAACAGAAATAAGCCTTTTTTCATAAGTCCCGATTTGCATTGACGCAAAAACTGGGACTCTTGATTTATAAATTTAGATTCTTCAAGATGTAAACTGTTTTGTTTGAAAAAGAAAGCACAATTTGCAGCATTGGAGCATTGGGTGTTCACGGAGAGAATGACACAGTAGAGGAAGTGCATGTGCGGAATTGTACCTTCAAAGGAACCATGACAGGAGTTAGAATCAAGACATGGCAGGTTTTTTCCTTTCTAATGCAAGTAACCAACTTCATCTACAAGTAGGTGTCTTTTGATTCTATATATGTCGTGTAGGGAGGCGTTGGATATGCAAGGAAGATCTCATTCGAGAAAATTAGGCTTATCCAAGCTGATAGCCCTATTATCATCGACCAGTACTATTGCCCCAGTGGAGTGAATTGTAAAAACGGGGTGGGTAAATTCGAATCAAAATCGAAATAAAAATCTGTGACTCTGACTTTATTTTATTTTCCTTATAATAGCCATATTTGATATATATTAGATTAATGTGGGATATGAATCAGATGCTATAAATATAAAATTTTAAATCATATCATTTTTATATTTTTTTTATCATATTCGTATTATCACATCATATTTTAAATTGTTAAAACGTGCTCAATTATTCGTACCTAACCTTGTTCAAAATGCAGTCATTTACCTGGAAATTTTAACAATTCGTGCCCATGTTCTTACATGTTTAATAAGAAGAGGAGTGGTGTGGCGGCTGCTACCAAAGAAATATCTCATAATTATTCTATTCTGCTTACATTAATGATGCTATTGCACCCATATATATATGCTGAAATTGTTTTCTTCCTAACTTTGTAGACATCGGCAATCAAGATCAGCGACGTATCATACAGCTCGATTGTTGGAACATCAACCACAGACAAGGTGATCAATTTGAGCTGTGATCAAAATGTTGGTTGTAGCAACATTCAGCTTCATAATGTTTATATAGAGTCCACAGTTCCAGGGAAGAAGGCCTACTCCTACTGCTTCAACGCACACGGCAAATACACCCATACGAGACCTGTTGTGAATTGCCTGCTGCCTTGATTAGGCCTTAGAGCCTTGTAGTTATAATAATAATTTCCATGGATTTAAACATTTGATTCGCAATTATTCAAAAAACAACATTTGATTCAGAATTAATTTACATGCATGCATAAAAAAAAATTGTTGATGTGCTTCTTTTACTTTTTAAAACCGAGTAGATTAATGCACGGGACCTTACTGTTTATAAAATCTGAGCCTTTTCCTTCTAAACCCTCAACTAATAATTAATATACACACAAGTGTGAATCAGTTGGCATGAAATTTTTTATTTTTGTTGACATGATTACGAATTTAAATAAATTTATGCATGTAATTTTTTTTTTACAATCAAATAAATATAAAGGATAAAAAAGTTAAAGATAAATTAAAAAATTACTAAAAATAATAAATATAACATAAATGAGAACTTACTAAAATTATTAAAAATATCAAATTAATATATTTTAAATATGAAACTAGTACAATTTATATATATTTACGTTACTTATAAAATTTTTATAATTTATAATATGATTTAAAATAAATTATATATTTTAAATTATTATGGATATACATATCAATGTATCATTTAGAATAAATTATATAATCTCTTATAATTATACATGAGTATAAACTATCATGTTACTTAGAATAAAGTATATAAAACAACTCATTAATTTGTATATATACGTTACGTTATGTTATAATTATATTATTAATTTTTTAACATGTAATTTAAAATAAATTATATAATGATTTACAATTATACTTAAATCCAAAATAATAAGCTATTAAATAATGATGTACAATTATACTAAAATGATTATTTATATTTTAGTTATATTATTAAAATAAAAATAATTGCATATTAAATGTGTATCATAAATAAATATTTAAAATAATTTTTATATGATTATATTAAAAATGTAATTGTGTATTATAACTAAAAGTTTAAAATAGTTATATTTATATTAAGTTAAAATAAATATAAAAAACTACAAAATGTGTCAAATGAAACAAACATGTTTGTCATATCTAACATATATATATTCATATGACACGGTTTAATTAAATATATTTTTTATATCTTACAAACATTAAAATATATGTCGACATTACTAAATATATAACAAAATTTTTTAAGACTCATATAGTTTTTTTTTTTCATATTATTTTAATATCATATCATCATGTAATATTTAAAATTATCAAGTCTAATAAAAAATTACATATTTTTTCATTTATATAAAAATTAATTTTAATTTAAAATATACAGATTATGATATTAAAACTAATTCGAATTCAATCAAATAATTTATTTATATTTAATTCAATTTAATTATAAAAATTAATAAATTAAATTTGAAATAATCCAAACTCAAATAAAAAAACGTCAAACTTAAAACATTCAAAATAAAATAATCCATAATTGAAACGACCGAATTTAAAATGACTTAGAACTTAAAACAATCCAAACCTGAAAAACTCGAACTTAAAATTGACCTGAATTTTTAAAATTCGAAATGACTCGAATTGCATTGACTTACTCAAATTCAGCTTGGCCCGTCCAATAAACAGTTCTAGCCTTTCATGATGGCATGCACAGGGTGAGGTCGTTTTGCCCAAAAAAAAAGTTGTACAAGCAGGAAAAACACCAAACTTTTTAACCAACTCTACCCACCTAGCAAAACTCGTTCCTTGCCACCCAAATCCTCGTCATTTCCTCTGTCTTTCTTTCCCTTTCTGGGGAAGCATAATAGCATCCCCACCACCCTTTCCAACGTTGGCGTTGACAGCCCTTTCGTCGTCTCTTCCTCACGACCATGGGGAAGGGGCTGCCGCCACAATCACCATCCTCTGATATCGAGGCAGGAACGAACAACTACAAGCCACATCATAGGAGGCGACCACCTCCTCCACCAAAGTTTTCACCCCCAGCTCCGGAACCATGGTTTGCGTGGCTCCTGCCTCTCGTATTTGTGGCTAACATTGTGATGTTTGTTGTCACTATGTACATCAATGATTGTCCAGCGACAACCGGGCCAGAGAACTGTCTATTCTATGATTATCTAGGGAGGTTTTCTTTTCAGTCTTTTAAGGATAACCCTCTTCTAGGCCCTTCATTAATCACGTATGAATTTCCTTCTCTCTTATTTTTTGTGTTGTCTAGTTAATCCTGGTGCTCACCCTTTTATTTCTTAATTAATCAATGAATTAACATTGTTCTTAAAATTTTTTGATTGATTCTTTCTTGCTTTCTTCTGCCAATTATCGAAGATCAGAATGTTCATGAAAGCAATGCTGCTTTAATAAAATTTGAGATAAATCCAATATCTCTTCCCATTAGGCATTTTTTCCTGTACCACTGGAGGCTAAAAATTGAAGCAGATTTAAGTTCCAGTGGCCACAATGCAATAATTAATTTGCACTCCAATTTATTGATAACTAAGCATAATTATAATTGTCAGCAACATTAAGATATAGTGCCTCACTTGATCAATGATCAATTGTATATTCATTTAGTTAACTTTTACGTACCGTTTTACATAACTTGCAAAGTTGTTTCTATTTATCATTGTACAATGCACAGATAACCAGAGTAATGTCCTGATTCATGAGAGTATGTTCTGCTCTGGCACCAAACCAGGATTTATACCCTGCTTTATGCTAGATATTCCTATGATCTTCAAATGTTTGGAATATTAACCATATGTTGTCAAAACTTCAATACAAAATTAGGTTGTTCAAAGAGGTTGCTGGTGTTGAACCAAGGGATTAGCACAGTCGGTTCATGTTACGTTTAAGAGGTGTCATTAGCAAATTCAAAGTTCAAATCGCAGCACCTGCACAACCCTTTCCCCTGTCCCTTGGACCTCTTTTGTACCAAAAAATAAGGTTACTAGGTTTATGGTCTATCATTTTGTATTCTTGCTGTATGGAAAATGACCTTTTTAAAATCATTCCCAGAAGAAATGTCATCAGTGGAAAGATAGATTTAAAATTCAAAAGACATGTATGCTTTGGTTAATACCAAAGAAACTCCAAGGATAGAATGCTGAAATAGATTCAGCTGGTGATAATCTATATATCCAGCAGTCAACCAGAGTTCTATTATGTTATTTAACGTCCAACATATAACTTTGGTTTTCACAGGCTAAAGGAACTAGGAGCCCTTGATTGGAAACTAGTGGTAGAGAGCAACCAAGCTTGGCGCCTTATATCCTGCATATGGCTTCATGCTGGAGTCATCCATTTACTAGCTAATATGATGAGCCTTTTATTCATAGGAATCCGAATGGAGCAAGAATTTGGATTCTGTAAGAACTGAATCAGTAAATGCAACAACTGACCTTTAATAAGGTAACTAATTCTCAGTTACTTTAACATTGCAGTGAGAATTGGACTCTTATATATGCTTTCTGGCTTTGGTGGGAGTTTGAGGTCTGCTGTAACTCCTGGTCGGAGACAAACCATATCTGTCGGTGCATCAGGTGCACTTTTCGGGCTGTTGGGAGCCATGCTTTCAGAGCTCATTACAAACTGGACAAACTATACAAACAAGGTAAAAACTGTATGCTGTACAAGATTTTAACTTGTCTAATAAAATCAGAATGCTCTCAGACTATGATAAGCTAACAGAATAACAGCAGTTTAATTTCAGAGTAGAGAGTTCTAACTCTTTTCTATCCAGTGTCAATCTCTGTCGACCATGTTGTTGATTATTTCCCTGAATCTAGCTGTCGGATTTCTCCCTCATGTGGACAATTCAGCTCATATAGGAGGATTTATCTCTGGATTTCTTGCCGGATTTATACTTCTAATGCGCCCTCAGTTTGGATATGTAAGCCACAAGCACATTCCACCTGGATATGAGATAAAACGTAAAATTCCAAGGCACAAATGCTACCAGTATCTGTTATTGGTTATTGCCTTAGTCCTTTTGCTTGTCGGGTAAATAACTAAAAGATCTATTGAAGATTTTGACATTGAAACTAATCCAACTTCAGCTAACTTTCTGGCATTTTGACAGATATGCAATTGGCTTATCTAGGCTATTTGAAGGTCAGACTTTATAAAAGCAAACCTCTCAAGACCATTTTTGTATCAGCTCAATTGCCTCTTTTCCAGGCAGCACAATATGATACCAGAAACTCTCATTTCATCTGTTTTTATGTACAATGTGAATGTGAACAAAACATTCTATTCTTGGGCACATTTTGACGAGAGTCAAAAGGGAGGAGTTTGATGACTCTTCTTTGTAACGTAAAGAACACCAATTAGATTACAATGATGCATCATTTACTCATTGTTCGCTGTTTAATTAATTCTAATGGAAAGATTGTTGTACATATTGAATTAGAGATCAGGAACTTCCTTTTATATTCTTTGCACAGAAAGGAGGAAAAATTGCATTCAAAATCCTTCTCCACAGTACATTTCTTGCAAAACAAAAGTGCACAAGTGGAAAACTCCGTTGCCCAGCGGCTAAAATGAAGCCAATCATCCTAATTAGAAATTGGGCTATAAACGTTACCTATGCTTTTCGACAAGAACAACACTAGAAATATCATCAGGAGCTCTTCCAGACTTCCTCGGTAGCTTCTTCCCTGCTTCACTCTGAATTGTCTCCAACTTAATTCTCTTATCAACATTGAAAAAAACAAGAATAAAGCAATTGATATGAGCTGAAATGGAGTAGGCCGTGGGGACCATCCTAACCATAGAAACCCATTTTAGTAGTCATAGAGTCGTCAACAGTCTTGCAAGGAGCCAACCAAAATTTGTTATTTTGTAGCGAGTAAATAGCTGAGGAATTGCGGTTGTAATGAATATAAAATGGTGAACATGATAGAGATGCAAGGGAATGAATTTTAGAACAGAATTCTTAAATTCTAGACTCTCTCTCTCTTCTTTCTTTATTCTCTCTATTTTCTCTGTCTTCTCTCTTTTTCTTTGTTCTTCTTCTTTCTTGCAGAAACTTCATCACTGCATTTCTTATTTCTGTTGGTTGATCAGTAGAGCTTGATTGTAGTAGATAAGGTCAGTAACAACAATCCTCCAAAATTAGTTAATTAAGAAACCATACTAGCAAAAATGTCAAAATAAAAAAATGCAAAAAAAAAAAAAAAAAAGTCCAAACGAAACAACAATTCTTAATATGGATTTCGTTTTCCTTTGAAATTTTATTTATTAAGCGTCACAATCAACATTATCGATTAATTTGATGCCTTAATTGTTGAAGATCACCGTAGTTCTGATATCACTTATTAAGTAAAAGATTTCAATCCAATCAGTCATCCAAACTAGAATAATCAATTAATCACACAAAAAGTAATAATTTAATATGATTCGATTCAATTGATTTATATCCACGGATAAAAAATAAAATCTATTAATTATAAAAAATTACAAATCTATAATCAAATCATATCAACCACTCAACAATTAATACCATAGACACTCTTAATCTCTTTTAATCTTATAAAATATTTTTAATCAAAACAAACACATATTCATGTGCACTCATTCATCATACTTATGTGAACTCTCTCAGTCTCTTTTAATCTACTCACAAACATTTAAACATACACACTCATAAGATATAAATCTTCATATTTAAATATACACACTTATAAGATATACTCATAAGATATAAATCTTTAATAGTCTTATGAGATGTTTATCCTATAAAAATCTACAACTCTTTTATATTTTTTTTATACCTAATCTTGTAAAGATTTCATCCATTTATAAGCATATATACTTATCTATTAAAAATCTCCTTTTTTTTTAATTTTTCTTTTGCAAGTCAAACTTAATCATTAAAAATTCATTTTCTTTTAATTTTTTTTTGTAAATATTTGTTTTCATCAATTAATATTTAACGAATCTCAAATAAATCTCTTATGAAATTTGCGTTACTGTTTTAAAAATTTATTACAAAAGTTACAAACTCCAGACCAACTAAAACAAAAATTTAAAAAAATTCAAGTGAACAATCCGAACTTAAACTAAATGGTAAAAATTCTTTAAAATAAAAAGAGCCGTTGACATCAAACAACATGATAGGCTTCGTGTCTTGGTTGAAAAAGCTAAAAGTGGCTTTGACCCAGTTCACATTATTAGGCCAACGAGGGGATAGATAGCAAAACAGGTCCAATGGTTTCTGAATTTCGCATAAGGTGAGAAGGTTAATCATGCTCATTGTAAACACCAATTTGTATTATTATTATTATTATATATTTTTTATTTTTCTTTCTTTATTTTTCTTTCTTCTTCTTTCCTTATCTAGTTCAGTTGGACAAAAAAATATGAATGCATTAAATGCACCCTCCCCAAAAGTCCAAAATCCCAGCCACCGTCACCATCAACAGTCGCCTGCACCTTACCTAACTTGATAGCGTGGATTTCGGGTTGAAAATATGAGATTTGAATCCTAGAAAGCTCTATAAATAGAGCTCATTATCTGCACAAAAAAGAAAGAGGATCGAAAAAAACCTGCCAAAAAATTTCAAAATAAAAAAAAGCTTTCTATAAAAAAAAAAGGGGAACAAAAACTATAGTCCTCAAGGTAAGGGAACTTAGCGCCAGTATTTAAAAAAAAAAAACACAAACACAAAAAAAAAATTCAGCCAAACCTTCCAGGCCAGATCTGTATCGTTTGGAGCCTATTTTCTTAAAATTAGGCTTAGATCTGGACTCCGGAGGCTAGAAGGAGTATTTAGTGAATTTTGAAAGTTTTTCAATCACTAACGATAGTGGCCGATGACCAGTGGCAGCAGCGATGACGACAAATGAGTTCAAAAATTTTTTTATGTTTTATATAAATCACCATAACCAAAACGACGTTGTTTTCAATGAAAACCAAAATGACGTCGTTTTAGCCCCTGAGGATCCGTGCGTCAACCCGTGACTTGACCCAAAGTTCACGTACCCGATTCAATGACCCACTTCTTTTTCAACCTTTAACTGGTCCAGCTGAACTGATCCAGATCGAACCGGACCATCCCGAAATCGCTAACGCTAAATCGACCTAACCAAACTAAACCACTAGACCAGACCGCGCTTTGACTAGACCATTAACCGGTCCGGTTCAAATAAAAAAAAATTTTTAATTTTTTTACATATTATTTTTGTAATTTTAAATTTTATTATTAATATTTATGCATTAAAAATGTTTAAATTTACCAGAATAAAATTTTGTTGTTTTATAATAATAATTAACAAAAGTAAATGATGATATATAATAAAAATTTTTGATAATTTTGTTAATTTTAGAATAAACCTTATAAAATAATAAAAATATAAGAAAAAGAATTTTTTATCCAATGATAAAATTCAAAGGTACTCCAAGTAGTGATATCCATAAAATCTCTAAATGAAAAGATTTTTTTTAAATACTACCAGTGTATTGGAATATTTATAAAAAAAATTTTAACACAATAAAAATTTTTCTTTTTACTAATAAATTAATAATAATAATAATAATATAAATGAAAAAAAGGAAATTTTATCCAATGATGAGATTCTAAAAGTATTTCGAGTCGTAATGCTTTACGAAATCCCTAGGTGGGAAGATTTCTTTAAATATTATCAATGTATTAGAATATTTATAGAAAAACTTCAATATAATAAAAATTTCTTTTTTTCTTCAAAAATTTAAATAAAAAGAAATCAAATAAAACAATCAATAAATTTTCTAAAAAAGAGAATAAAATACATGCATCAACATATCAGCATTTTGCATTGCATGCTTAATAAAGTTTTTGCCAAAAGTAAATTCGAGCCTCCAAGGATAGTATTCTAAGGTATTCCGAAAGCAATGCCTAAGAAATCTCTAGGTGAAAATGAGTTCTTCTAATGTTACCAACATATTGGAATATTTTAAGAATTATTTCAATAAAAGTGTTCTAATTTATTTTTCTCAAATAAAATTTGAACAATAAATATGGAACAATAATAAAAGAAAAAATCAAAATTTCAATAAACAAAAGAAACCAAGGAAATTATTTTTCAAACATCGAAAATAAGACTATTTTTATCAAAATCAACAAATAACACGTAATTAATCAGTATCATTTTAAACAAGTATTGTAAGGGTGCTAATCTTTTCTCACATATAATTGACTCCTAAACCCAAACTATTGCACAGACCCTAAAATTATCTTTTTAATAATTTTAATTAATTTTAAGATTTCATTAAAAGGTTATGTTTTAATAAGTGGCCAATCGCATCTAGCCAAAAAAGATTGGTGGTGACTCCATTATTTTTTATTTTATTTTCAAATTCGTCGGACAAACATAAATCGTTACGATAGCTTGGCGACTCCACTAGGGATATTTATTTTTTGAGAGTCAAGCTAAAATTAACTACGTATTATCTCCTCAATTTTGCTTTAAATAGTCTTAATCGGTATTTAGTTTTAAGTTTCTAGATTTTGATTCCTTTAAAAAAAATCAAAAATAAAAAAACAAATCGAAAATGAAAAAAAAATTTTCACATGCATTTCTTTTACTATGCCTTTATGCTTTATTTTTTTATATGTATTATTATTAATAAATTAGAAAACATATGCACACACAATGACATGATATATCTCATACATGAGCTCTATACCTGGGCTTTATCCCTTATAGGAGAAAGTAAAGTACTTATGCCCTCGTAAGGTGATAACCTCTGCAATGGCAAGCGAAATACTTTCACTCAAATTAAACCATTTCTATTCATAGCCTATAATGGGTGAGGATCAGAGTGCCTTACTAGTCCAGAATGGATGACAGTGAGAAACAATTTAGGAACTTTTAGAAATGTATCAACCCGAACCAAGCATATAATAAGCCATAAGAAGCTAACCTTAGGTAGAGTTTCACCCATTTTTTTTTAGAAAACTATGTCACACCCCTCGTGAGTGCCAACACAGCCAAGGCCTGAGCACCAACACAAAAAGGCCAAACCCTCAGCACCAGGCCACAAGAATGAGTTCCTACCAAAGTTACCTGAGGTTGAGCTAATGGACCTTGTGCCAGAAGATTCTAGAAAGCTCCAGAATGGTGGTGTGGGCAGTGGACATGAAAAGGCTCTAGATGAGCATCACTCAAGCCAAAGGGGCAGGCAAGAAACCTTTTGGA